GACGATGGAAATTTATCGGCCACATCATGAGGAAAGAACCAAATAATGACTGCAGAACTGCATTAACCTGGACCCCAAAGACAACATGGAGGAAGACAGCAGAGAGAGAAGGGGAAAAAGCTGGATGGAAGAACTGGAGTGAGGTACAAATCGCAGCGGCTGACAGAGCTGGTTGGCGGGATTGTCTCTATAGCTTACTACCTCCCAAGAATGAGTGCGAAGTCAATTTAAGGAGTCAGCACTCTTTTACTACACGGCGCCTCCACACCATTCGTACTCGAAATAGTTTTATCCATCACTATGTCCATAAAGCAATGATGTAATATTGTTTTTCTCTTAATTATATATTTTTGTCTTTTTAAATTAGTTCTTCTTAGCCATGTATTTTTTGTAGTATATATTTTATTGTAAATCAAACGTAGTTCAGCCTGTGGCTGCAAGGTTTTTGATAATAAACTATCTATCTATCTATCTATCTATCAAAGACAACATGGAGGAAGACAGCCGAGAGAGAAGGGGAAAAAGCTGGATGGAAGAACTGGAGTGAGGTACAAATCGCAGCGGCTGACAGAGCTGGTTGGCGGGATTGTGTTGAGGACTGAGATATTTGGACTTGGCAATGTTTGTTTTGATTGATATTGGTGGGCATGGTTGTGATGATCATGAAAGTGGTGAAGGGGCTGATGATGATCCAATGATGGCAATAATAATGGCAATGATGGCAACAATGATGGCAATGAAAATAAAATCTTATTCATCAGAAAGAAAAATATTATAACTTTTGTCCCCTTGCAGTTCTATATTTGCGCTATGGTGATCTTGTGCTTGTGGTGTGCTTTTGGAGAATTGGAACATAAGTATCATGACAAGGTTTGTTTTACTCAGGAAACAAGAAGGACATTTATTTAATTAAATCAATTTTCAGCCTAAGTCCACTGATTGCGTAAAACCATGGTTTAGGCCAGACCTTTTGTAAAGAAATGGCCCATTGTGTACGCATGCAGCAAATCAGCTTTGTTTTCCTTTTATTTCTGTTAAAAAACTGTTTTTCCTAGGTTGAGAAAACTCTAGACAAAGATTTTCTAGCTGAGTTAGGAAGTGAAGGCACCACCAAAGGAATTGATAAACTGCAGAGAAAGGCTAGTTATTCTTGGGAATTTGATAGTGCTGTTCTGCCTGGTGGTAAAAGGAATTTGGGTCTGAATGATTTCAAATTGCATTTAGTTTGATTATTTGTGTTTTCCTTCACCCAGATCTTAATTCTTAAAAAGATAATCATGTATCAACCTCTATTTGTTGTAATGAGGGGAAGAGTTTGTGTCCTGAGCCATCTGCTGAATTACTACCTACCAGAAAGAGGGCATTTTGGCATTTCTTAGGTACATCTTTGGGATAAATTATTTGAACAATTTAACAAGATCTCTTAGAGGGCTCTCTGAGGGCATTGCGAATGTCATTTTGACATTCTGAAGCACCTCCTCTGGAAACATTATAAGAAGAATCTCACAGGATCTCTTAGTTATAAGGCTTTCTGAGGCCATTTCAATTGTCTATACTTGCTTACAAGCTGTTTTGACATTAGATGCATTTTGAGCTGATGGTTTTGAAACTATGATGAAATTACACAACAGTCAATCAGACGAAGCTGTGGGATATATTTGACAAGAGGCCTATTTCTTACAACAACTCAAATTCAAAGTGCAGGACAAAAGAGTTACTAGTTCACTCTGGATTTGGTGTTGTATATCAGTTGTAGATATGATAATATGAGTTCTCCTGGAGTAAAACAAAATCATTGTTATCCTGGAATTATACTAATGATCAAAAGCAAATGTATGCATTTTGTATTAAATTCTTTTTTCCTTGTTGTTTCTATAGGTAAAGTGTTGTGGCTGGTACAACACCGACTGATATACATCAAAGTTTGGAGGCTGTGGTCAGATTGTTCCAGACTGTGGAGCCAAAAAAGACTCTCCTTTTGTGTTTGAGAAGGTGAGCATGTGACTCTCTCGAAACACTTTGAAAGTCTACAAAACCATTGTGTTATGCGGGAGGTCGAGGGTTCGAGCCCCAGCCGGACCAATACTCATGGTCTTAAAATAAGTGAGGAGAAATTGCTACCTTCCATAATCGAGAAATGGATAGATATTCTAGTCTTCTCGGATAAGGACGAATAAACCATAGGCCCCGTCTCCTGCAGGGTTAGGGGTAGGAGACGTTAATTTCCCACGCACGAGATTACTGTGTCGTGGATGTCCTCCCCTGGGCTGGGATGGGTGGGCATTGGCCCTGAAAAGCCCCCATGAGGAGTGATCAACTAACCTATGTATGAATGTATGTATATATGTATGTATGTTCCCTTCCCCTACCCTCTTCCCCCAGGTGGAGAGTCTAAACTGTTAGAATAATTTTTTTAAAGTCAATATCTTGATACTAAATTGTAATTGATTTAGATTTTTTTTTGTTTTGTCGTTATCTCCACTAGATACCAGTCGAGTCTTATAATTATGTCAGCGGACTGACACACGGCCTAACCCCTTACACCCTTAACATTAGTATCCATATTCCCTACACCCCTACCATACATTTCCTTTGGTGCTGACAAGGAGAATTTATGAAGGATCAAAGCTTCTTTGGTTGGCAATCGTATCCTTTATTTTCATGATTGTAATGAACTATATAGCCGTATAACCGTAGGGAGAAATTAGATGCCAGTCACTTTTAAGTTTAAGGGGTTTGAACGGACATGTCACTTATATGAAAACTCTCTTTTTTCCCTTTTGTGTCTGTATTAGAGAGGTTTAACTGTGTGAGGTGAAAAATTCAACTTTATCCAGGCCATAGAAGACATTTTTCTGTGCTGTATAACTTGATAAAGCCATGCTGGATGTTGGGAGAACATTCACCTTGGTTTGTGATTTCTAATCTTTCCTCAGGTTCTCCCGACATCCCAAGTGGCTTTATAATGTTATTGAGTCTGGAAAAATGGGTTCTATTACTTTTATGACATACCTAGTTGCGTGAGAACTCTATAACATAATAAAGCATCTGCTTGGAAACTTAATTGAACAAACATACAAGGCATACTAAGTTCATTTATGTTATAAAATGCTCTAACAGAAACCTGTTATAGCAAAAAAACGGTCAAGTAATGATGATGATTTAGGAAGTGAAGACAAAACACAGTTTCCTGAGTACTTTTAAAGTTTCATATCAGATCTTGTAATGATTCTTAGTTTACCGGTATGTCAACAATTTCTGCTGACCCTTTCACTCTCAAGATCTAAATATTTAGTCTTTGTACTTTCCCCCACATGTTTCCCATAATGATTCTAGTTCTGAGAATTTGATGTCAAATTAAGCAATTTCCTCTTGTTGATTTTTTCCTTCTTCTCCTTACCTTTCTGCTTGAAAATGTACAGTGTTGTAAGGAGAATTCCTTGTTGGTTAGTAAGTAAGTAAGTAAGTAAGTAAGTAAGTAGAGCTTTAATTGAATCCATATGGCAGCCTATCTAAGGCTGAATTGAATGAATTTCCAAATTCCGTTAATACAAGGCTTATAATATCAAAAAGTACTAAAACCTGCAAAATTAAGCTTAGAATACTAATTTATAAAAATTCGTAAAAATTCATACTATGAAAACTGTTAACGCCTGCACGTAGATGGCAGAAATGTGCTAGAAAAACGCTTGGTATGCATGGCAGGATTGGCAAATTGGCGTTGTCTTCTCAAGTTATAATGAAAATAGTTCTTGGGAGGGAGAAAATGGTACAACTTATGACCTGGATTAGATACAATAGAATCAAAAAACTTTCGCATTGATGTATGCGTCTGTCCTCTAAAGATGCCATGTTGTATATTGACAGGCTGTCATCGTAAGAAAGGCCTGGCGAAATAATTGATAGTGCACGTTTATTAAATGCGTTCAATATCCTTACTTAAGTAGTCTGGAACTGGCCTTATACAAAAGAGAAACAAATGGTTACTCTTGAGTAGGTTTAAATTAATCTTTTCCTAATACAGACTCACTCTGACATGAGTAATAGGCACTAAATCCTGGGCCAGAGAATAAATGCTTGAATTAATGCAATTCAAGACTTTTTATTGGCTAAGCCATTATGGTATATGAGCCAATATACCATAATCTACAAATATGGTAAGCGTACGCGTCAGCTTAAAATAAAAAGGGAGCTAAAAAATCCGGTTTTTTCTTACAAAATAATGATTTTTTGGGGGTGTTTTTAATAAAACAATTATTCCACTCGCGCTTGTTGGATATGAGATGATTATAGCCAACTCGGCGCTACGCGCCTCGTTGGCTATCTATCCCCTCATATCCAACGCGCGCTCGTGGAATAATTGTTAAGTATATTTGATCTCAAATCAGATCAAAGGTAATCAGGTTGCTATCTGGTTTATGCTAACAACTATTCACAAAAATTCATCAGTTTTCTTCTTCCAAATTTACTATTCATTATTATCATGTTATTAAGTTAAAATATTTTCCAAAGAAGACCTCCTGATAAAAATCCTCTATAAAATGGACAAATACAGACATAGAACAAAGGTTGCCTTACTTATTGAACTGTGAAGTGATTTTCCAAATTTTGATGAGGGGTTCACTACCTAAAAAATTTCAACCCTCTCTATCAAAATATGTCCCAACTCACCCATGCAAAGAGAACGACTCTATAAAACAACAGTACATTTGATTTGATCCAAGAGGGAGAGAAAGGTTAAATTTCAATCTTGAGCATCCAATTGAGAATGAGGTGAAAGATTTGTCTCGAGCCTCGAGACAAATATTTCACCTCTTTCTCAATTGGACGCTCAAGCTTGAAATTCAACCTTTCTCTCGCTCTTTTCCACACACAGAGAACTTGTGACATACATGATCCTGGTGATAAGAAGGACACTCAGACACTTTTCACAAGCCAACCAAGCATATAGCCATGCCTTTTGCCAAATTCTATAGCCTCCTTTGCAGACTTTCTTTGGGTGTCGAATTAAAAATTCTCCCCCGTTCGTCGGGGGAGAATTTTTAATTCGACACCCAAAGAACGTCTGCAAAGGAGGCTATTGTTATTCCTAGTTTATGCAACATTGGAATTCGAAATATGAATTGATGTTTGAATCATCACGGAGTCTCCTTTTTGGGTTAATTTTTTTAGGTAAAGAGTGGTATTTTGCTCACACCACTCAGATCGCTGCATTAGGGTGTGTATCACGCGCCAATCAGATTGCCGCGTGATACACACCTTAATGTTGTTTAAATTTGATCTTATCTTCTCATATTTTTAAAATTTCAGCTGATTTCTTGCGTTCAAGTTTCCCAATCCAAAATATTTTAGTGCTCTATTGATATACTTAATATTAATGAACTTCAGGTTTCATCTTCTCTCGGCGCTATCAATTCAGTAATGTATACATAAAGCATACATAAAGCATACAAAAACCTACTACTAATTTTTTTTAAAAAAAAAAGACTAAATATATCTACGCAAAATATACCAGTGTCCTAGTTTAGTGTTAATGGCAGGAAGAAGAATATTTCTGTGAGATCAGTCGTTAGTCTGTTGCTTCTCTGTCCCATTGTTGTGCTCCTCGAGTTGTTCCTTCTCTGTCTTATTGTTGTCCTCCTCGAGTTCTTCTTTCGCGCTGAAACAAGCATTATACAATACATATTTCAACAGATTTCCTTTAAAAATTACTTCCTTCCTATGATTTTTGAAATTTTTCAAATGTTTCTCGACCATACTATGCTTGATGCTAAAGCCTCTGTAAAATTATCATTTTGTTTTTTTCTTTACTTTTTTACAAAATCATGTTAAATGTTTTAGAGCTAGCTTAGGTTTCTCAGATTACCTTCATCGTCATAACGTTTAGCACGGTATCGACCATGAGCTATTATTCCTGAATATCTTCCATACAAAAGAAACTCTAATCCAGGCCAATTTTAGGAAGCAAATCATCAAAATCTTCCGGCTCCAAACACTAGATAATACAATCTTCTTTTTCTTGACGTTTAATCGACGAGACACAAAGACGAAAACAAACAAACAGACAAAAGCTGACTAACAGTTGGTCAACTGAGTTACTTAAGTGTGCCAATCTTGTTGTTGTGTAAAGATAACTGCTTAACATAATCAGACTTACCCTTTTTTCATAAAATCAAATGTCACGTTATCCCCCATAAGCACAAACGGAGCCCATTGGGAAGGTTTGCGAAAGCCGTTGCTTCTCAACCATTGAACGGCCTGGTGAAGAGATTCACTGGCACTTTCTCCACGAACAAGGTATTTATAGAAATGTTTCATGAGCTGCGCCGTTGCTTTATCTTCGATAGCCCACGATGCTACCAACACTGAACGAGCACCGGACGCTAAGAATGCTCGAGCGATTCCAATAATTCCTTCCTTTTTAACCAATCCACGCCCACTGTGGCAACAGCTGAGTACAACCAGTTTAGCTCGCACTTGAATCCCTTCAATGTCGGACATTGTTAGGAGGTATTCTTCCTCTTGTGGAGTATTGTTAGATGTAGATTGAGGAGAGAGAGGAATCTCTCCTCTTTCGGTATTTCCATGTGCAGCAAGATGTATCAGACTCACTGAGGGTATTGCTTGAAGTACTGCCTGCTTTGTCGCACGACTTCCTGACAAAGGCTGAACGCCCAGCAGCCGACCAACCATCTTTGTTTCCTCAGATGCACAGAACAATGGTGTAATATCAACGAGACGACCATTGTAATGCACTTTGCCAACCTTAGGATCACCCACAACCAGTGCACCCGTTAGACTGTGATAGTTCGCTGGACATTCTTGAATAAGACGGAGAGTAGTCAGAGAGGGGACGATGCGTATTCTGTACTTCTCCGACAAATACTTTCCGGTTGGTTCATCACGCAAGGCAGCAAATGGGACACGGTACAAGAATCGATCCGGCACAATGATGACTTCAGGTTCCGTTAGTAGATCTACCACAGGTGCGACGATCCATTTGTAGCACAATTGATGAGTTCTTTCGGTATCGTTGGTTTCGACACGTCGCAAAATTGCTCGGCCCTCTACATGAAGAGATGTCGTTACGTTGCCATTCAAAGATCGATCCTCGCAGTTCGCTGCAGGTAAAACGCCATAGCCGGCGGCGCTCTTTTTGAAAACTCCTTCCACTTCACAAACTTGCTCAGCAATAAGGGTGGTGTTTTTCACTTGATCTGTTACTCGAAAGCAAATGTCTCCACTTGATTTCAATACCCAGAGAAGAACTTGCCGCTCTCTATACGAAATGTACAAACAAACACGGTTACTTTCTCTTCTCACGATGTTTTCAATCCCGAACCATGATTGTGGATCAGCTGAGATGTGGCTTTCCAGGGAGTACTTGTCTGCCATGAATTCTGCGAGGACTGTTGCTCGTCCCAGTTCCTCAATATAGAGAGCATCTCGAAATTTTCCAGCTTTGCAAAGCATGTCAGTGAGCAACTGGTAGGGAAAAGTACCGCGATGTTCAAACAGAGACATTTCAAATACAGTCTCCCCTTTCAGAAAAGTTCTGATTTGTTCATATTTTTCAACACATTGAAAAAGATATTCCTTTGCCTTCACAACCTCTGACTGCGATTCCTTTAGCAGTGTAATTAGAAGAAGGCTTTCAAACTCAGTCATTTTATCTCCGATTTGGCTGCTCATGGAGCAAGCTCTCTTTAAGTACTCTTCTGCCTTGCCACTTTCACCAAGTGATAGTGATAAATTTCCAAGGACAGCGTAAATTCTGGCTTTGGCCGCTCTATCGCCACATTCTCCGCTGATGGCAAGTGCCTTCTTACAATGTTCTTTTGCCTGCTGATGGTCATTCACAGAAGCGAAGACAGCCGCCAAACGTGCAGTAGCTGTGGCTTCTAGGTCTTTGTCAGCAATGGTTAAACTTATACTGATTGCTTTTTCCAAATGTTGTTTCGCTTGCCAATTTTTTTTAAGGATATAATAAACACTTCCAAGATTCGCGTGTAGTTTACCTTTTCCTGGTATGTTGCCAATTTCTATCATGATGGCAAGTGCTTTCTCGAGATATTTTTTAGCCTTCTGAAACTCGCCAAGGTCGCCAAACAAATTTCCGAGGTTCCCGTTACTTTTTCCTTCTCCTTCTCTTTCACCAATTTCTATCGAGATGGCAAGTGCTTTCTCGTGATGTTCTTTAGCCTTCAGAAACTCGCCAAGGGAACGAAACAAATGTCCGAGGTTCCCGTTACTTTTTCCTTCTGCTGATCTGTCGCCAATTTCTATCGCGATGGCAAGTGCTTTCTCGTGATATTCTTTAGCCTTCCGATTTTCGCCAAGGAGACGAAACACAACTCCGAGGTTCCCGTTGCTCGCAACTTCTCCTTCTCTGTCGCCAATTTCTGTCGCGATGGCAAGTGCTTTCTTGTGATATTCTTCAGCCTTCTGAAGTTTGGCAAGGGAATGAAACACAGCTCCGAGGTTCCCGTTACTCGCTCTTTCTCCTTCTCTGTCGCCAATTTCTATCGCGATGGCAAGTGCTTTCTCGTGATATTCTTTAGCCTTCTGATATTCGCCAAGGCAATGAAACACAACTCCGAGGTTACCGTTACTCCTTCTTTCTCCTCGTCTGTCGCCAATTTCTATCGCGATGGCAAGTGCTTTCTCGTGATATTCTTTAGCCTTCTGATATTCGCCAAGGCAATGAAACACAACTCCGAGGTTACCGTTACTCCTTCTTTCTCCTCGTCTGTCGCCAATTTCTATCGCGATGGCAAGTGCTTTCTCGTGATATTCTTTAGCCTTCTGATATTCGCCAAGGGAATCAAACACAGTTCCGAGGTTCCCGTT